TTAAATATATTACTGCTCTTCTGCAAATGAACCAACACCAGAGGACGTTCACAGTTTGTGCATCCTGGCCACTTGCATCCATTTTTCCTGCTGCAGGACAAGCACGATGCTGAGGAGGGAGGAGAAACTCGAAACTGGGTTTCAGGGCGATTGTGCCCAGACAGGGGGTGCTCAGGGACATCCAAAATCGGCTTTTACAGGAGCGCACAGAGACAGGGCAGATGTGCAGCACAGCTGGAGCAGCACCACCAGGCAGAGCCAGAGCTTTTGGCAGGTGAGATCAGGTGAAAAAAACCCCAAAGAAAACATTGGAGAACCTTGGGAAAATGCCCTTTAATTAGGTTGGGGTTTTTTTTCCTCTTGTGTAAGGGAGAGGAAAAAAAATAAAAAAAGGCATTTATTTTGTCCTCAGTCTCCAAGATACAATGTAGTTTTGTTGTTTAAAATCTTAACATAGATCTGGCAAAGGGCTGGGCCAGGAAAGGCGTGTGCAGGTGGGAATGGAGAGATGACATGAGATGAACCAGCTCTGCCTCCAAGTGTTACTGTGGTCCCAAACACAGACCTCACTTTGCACATCACTTTACTTACATTTCTTTACCCAGCTGTGAGTTGAAAAGTTGGGAGAACGGAGCCTTTCCTGAGGGCACGGCCAAAACTCCTGTTTTTCACCAGGACTGGTAAAAAGAAACCATAAAAAAAGAAAAAATTCCAAAAAAAATGTGTGGAAGGACAAAGCAACAATTTCCTTTTGTCAGGACTCCCCATCTGCCAGGAGTGGCAGCTGCTCCACAAAGCACTGGATGGGAGACTCCATAAAACAAGGGAAAAAAAAATGTTGGAGAGCCACATAAATTCCCAGAATTTTAACATGAAATCCAACTTGGGAGCTGGCTGGTGCTCCAAAACCTGGGAAAGCTCTTCCTGCCAGGGATGAGCTGCTGGAGAGGGCACAGGGAGGAGAGAGGGGGGTATCCAAGAGATCTCTCTCCTCATAAAGCCAGCCCATGGAGACTGGAATGCTATCCCAGAGATGGAAAAGAGGGATTTGGCTCCAGGCTCACCTTGCTCAGTGGGGCACCAAATATTTACACACCCTATCACCTCCTCGGGGGGAATCAAATACCCACTAAATGAGTGGAACAAAAGGGGTTATCTCAGATTGGGGCTGTTAGTGGGGCTAATAAATAATAGTGTCTCCTCTGGGGAGGATTTGTAGGAAAGGCAAAGGTTGGGAAAGAATAAACAGGAGCCACCAGGCCCTTTGTCTTTGCCTTGTCTGATCCTGGGAATGCCCCCTGGCTCCAGGGTCATGGCCAAGTCTTTCCCCCAGTGGTGTCTGTAGGTGACTTTGAGCTTCAGCAGGAATATCTGTCTGATGGAGGGAGAGCTGAGGCCACACTGATCCGGTGTGTCCTGTCTCCATCCTCCCAGTGGGAATGTGGGATGGCTCAGCTGGGCATCCAGTGCCCCAGGAAGGTTTATGCCCCACGGGGATGGCAATGCCAAACAAGAAAAGTGCACGAGGGTTGCTCACACGTGTCCTGAGGGGGCTTCCCAAGGCTGGGTGAAGGAGATTCCTGCTTTCCCTGGTCTGATCCAGGCTCTGTTCCCCTGCACACAGCAGCACTCCTCTCCCCCAGGGACCTGAAGGTGCTGCTGCACCCCCGGAGCCCTCCTGCCTGCCGAGCTGCTAATTCCTGATGGGAGCCCCGGGAAGTGCAAGCCTGCCCCACAGATCCCTGCTGATCCAAGGAAATTCCTTTGTGAAAGGAAAGAGGGCAGAGTGAGAGCCCAGAGTGGCTCCAGCCAAGCCCTCCCTCGGTGGAGCTCCCCGGGAGTGGGGCCGGCAGAGCACGGCCCTGACACGGGGCTCAACTGCGTCACTGGGGCTGGAGGCTGCTCACGCTCTTCCCTATCAAATGGAAACAATTAATGAGCTATTCAAGCCTGCTGGGAGCTGGACACAGCGAGAGGGAACAGAGCAGGGATGGGCAAACCTCAAACAATGCAGACGTCTGGATGCTTGTCTAGGACAGACCCCAGTCAACAGCTCTGCTGGGATGGGGAAGCTC